TTCGATGTTTGAAAACTAGATTTTGAGTATCTCTGTGGTGTTTTGGGTCTGGTTGCTACCTGATCTATTTGTTAAATTTTTTAGAAATTTTCTTAATATATTTTATTGGTGAGATATTTACAAAATGTATACCGATACATGTTCAGATGTTATATTGATCGGTGAAATGAATACTAGTTTCACTAGTGAATATTACTGAAAAAACATTGATATTTCAGTAATGAAATATAATCAAATGCTAAACAGTAAAATGTGATTGGTTTTGTTTAAATGATGTTGTTTCTACAAAGTTTATAAAACTGAGTATAGATACGTTTGAAGACATGAAGACAATTTGTTAAATCAAAGTATTGTTTATCACATCTACTATCAGTATTCAATAGGACTAATGATTGTCATATATCTTACAGACGCGATAATGGCTGATCATAACCTGAGGAATAGTTTACCGTCTAAATTGATGCATTATTAGTTTACATGTACAAAAGAGAAGCATTTACTTTAATTACAGATTGAAATTGGTTTAATTTTAAAAGCGACGATTAAATGAACATGAATAATGACAATCTGAGTTTCTATTTATGCAAACGTATCCTGGAGTGATACTATAACTTTCTTCAATAAAAAATAAAGAGAAATTAACTAAATAAAGTTTTTATTTGACGATATAGTGTACTAAAGCTGTACAATTGTATCTATAGTGATTTAAAAAGTATATGCATCTGTTGGAAAATGAAGGGACATTAAATTGTAAATTATTTAGAGATATTAAAGGAAGGTTGCATAATGACCAAGAAGTTGAAGAAGAATAGGTGGATGAGACTAATTTACGGCTCATAAATATGAGAGACATTTGTCCACATGACGGATACGACGGAGAAGTAAACAATCTTGGAGACGATCTGAATTGGATAGTGATTCTAAAAAAGTAGATGTCAATAAAAAAAAACGATTACTGATTAAAAAAGTGAAACTTTAGTATGACATTCATAATAATGAAAATGGAGATCACACATTCGGAGTTCAGGTTTGAATTAATAAACAGCTACAGCTTCTAAAGTGTACGAGTAATCAACTTGATCTCCTTTTAATCCTGCTCATTTGACTGCATAGAGGATTCTGAAGGATGATTTTCGTAGTATAACGTGCCTAGAGTTGATGAGATGTTTGTGTTTAAGCTACTGAAAATAGTAAATTCTCCCTGGACAAACCAGGCCAGATATTGCTGAGAGAGGTGTTTGGAAAGTATTAGCTTTATGCGAATTTCGCGCTACGTTTTCATCATAGCTTTTTGATAAATGGTTAACGTAGAACAAAACTTCCACATAGAAATATTTTCCTTTTTTTCAAAAGAAATAATTGACTCAAACCTTTATCTTTCATAAAAAATATTTTTGATGCATGATCTGACACCTAGTCTGTTATTTTATTAATTTCTGTAAAAATGCTTGATTCATTGATCAAAATCAGTTAGTTGTTCTTCAGATCGTTACCTATTGAGAAATGATTTTATAAACAATACTTACCTGTTTAATTGACTCAAAAACATCATTGATTCGAAACTTATCATTTATTTTTTTTGGATGATATATTTTAACAGTCTGATAACATACATAATTACGAAATCATTGTACATTGAGCTCCAATATTAAATAAAGATTAGCAACCTTTAAGCTGACTCTATGCAAAATTCTACTCATAGATATTCCTCTACAAAAGAGAATGTTTAATGAAAGAATAATACGCGAAATCATTTATTGCTTCAATGCAACAATTGTTCATGATAACATCTGATTGTAGTTACTCAGTGTAAGATCAATTTTGTTTAATATTTTTACTGTTTTAGTTATATATGATACTTGTTAACTAATCACCGAATACCAGTAAAGTCTCTATATAAATGAGTGAACTTGTTTTTTTTTGATGAGGTAAAACAATTCATTTTGGTACTTTATTTTCTTGCTCAAGTCATGCTCGATTTTTCACATGTTTTGAGTTCAGTTTTAAAATAGGAATAATGATCCAAATTAATAAATGTGGCAATCGATAATGTAAAATGAACTCTATAAGTAAAAATTCATGTAATAGTTTTGCGTAACATTTTTGGTTTTCTGAAGTAGTAGATTGTGAAAACTCTTATCGGTCATAATTGAAAAAACTTTTAGAATGAATTTTGTTGAAGTGTCTACTTAGTAGATGGATTCTATTTGATTATTCAAGAGTATGATATTCAGAGTAACGTTCCCGATGAAATGAATAACAAATGTGTCCAATTGTTAATCTGATAAGAAGTAAATGCGCCAGTCTTCAGTGTTACTATGTGACTTCTTAAAGGAAAGTGCTTAAAATTACAATTTATTTATGAGCTCACGGTTTTTAGAGGAATTTATAAGCTATAAATGTATTTGCGATGGATTGAAGGATAGACACATTATGGATTATTTCACAATTTCTCATTATCCCACAAAATACATAGGAAAAATAACTTTGTATACTCGGCTTTTTGCCACAATTATTGTTTACTCAAATTAATGTTAACAAAGTGGGATTTGAACCTATAATTAAGTCACTTAAAGTTGTTCACTTAAACCTTTAAGCTAATACTTTACAATATCTCTAAGGAGGCAAAGTTGTATACTTACATTAATGCGGGGGAAGGGTAAAGTGTATTTCAAAATCATTACATAAAACAGGCAGTAACTTCTGTTACTACAATTTAAAATCAGTGTTTGATGTGATTGATGTTTGAATATAAGTATTATTTGTTCTTTTGATTATTTTACAATTAAAATTAAAAAAAAACAACTTTGGTAATTGTAATCTATAAATGTATTTAATCATTTTCAACGCTTTATTTTTCAATTTAACAACGTCAATTAAAATCTAAAACAATATCTTGAACAAGGTTCTTTTTTCAGGACAGATAATTATTTAAATGAAATCCATAATCATGTTGTTCTCACTTACATTTTCAACTGCAAATACTAAGAATTGTAGCTCAATTTCATATAAATGTCACTGTACTATGTCAATAAATTCAGAGTATACATTATAGGTATCATTACCAAGGTTTGACTTGATAATTTCGAATAAATTGAGCATTGGATAAATTGTTATAAACAAATTAATATAATTGTAGTATCCTAATAAGTAGAAAAATTAGATCTTCTGACGTTTCGTGACCTAGTGTAAGCCACTTCTTCAGAAAACAGATAACCAAAAATTTATTGTTGTTCCATTGTACTATTTAAACTTGGGTTAATTTTGATTTGGTTATTTATCCTCTAAAGAGGTATCTTAAACTGAGTCACGAAACGTCAGAGGATCTAATTTTTCTACTCATTGGGATATCATGAATATACATGTTTACTTATAGAGTATACATTATATTACTATGATCTCATTTCTATTGTCACATAGAGAATCTGGTTTCTAAATCAGATAAAAACAATTTTTACATAAATTTCCATTTTAAACTAAAGTTATATCACAGTGAACAGGAACACGAGTGGGGTCAACCGAATGCCTTCGAGCACAAAGTAACAGAACGTCTCACTAAAATCTGAGAACCATACAGTAAATAGTTAGTTTGCAAAATGTCAATGAATTATCTCAATCATGACTATTCCTTTCGAAAATATCGGTCCATCATCTCAGATTTCGTTGTTCACGCGTTTTCATACCAATTTCTCTTCGTTCACATTCTTTCCCTCTCGATCTTTCACTGATGATATACATTCTATATATGACCATCGTTATATACTACTTATGTGAATATAAGTAACTCACACCAAAATATCACATAATTTCAAACATTTTAATAACCTGATATAAATTTATATTCGGGCATATTGTATGGTTAATCCAGGTACAATAAAGATTAAAATAACTAGACTATGTAATCTAAACCGTTTAACACTGATTAAAAAATAGTTCACTTTGGGTTCATAATGCAAATTGTGAACAGTTTTCTTTAAATTTTTCTCAGATAATTTTCGGGCAAATTTAAATTTTATAATTTAACAATAAATTTCATGGTAAACTATTAATAATACCAGTGGGATATTATGGGATAAAAATGTTTTCATAAATGAATAAAATTTCTTTTCTTAATTCATTAAAATCTATTTGTTTATTCATGATTTAGCACAAATTTAAACAACGGAGGAATTCACATCAAGATTTAACTGATACTTTATAACTTGGATTTTATTGACTTGACAGTTGGTATCACTTTGGTGATAAGATTTTCATTATTATTATTATTGTTATTATTATTATTAGCTTTATTCAATATTATATTATATAGAATTCTCAGCACAAAATATTTGAGCGAGTTTTCATTCTTTATTTCTTGATCGATATTGATGATAAATACTGAGTGATTGCCGGTTAGAAATTAGGATTACAAAAGTCGATATCTTAATAATATTCAATGCATATTGTCAGCCATCACAACGACTTCGATTGTACATTTTTGTAACGTGTACAGCGAAAGGTTGTAAACATTTCACAAACACATTTGAATAGGTTATTCAATTAATTGACATAATGATTTGTTAAAACAAACAAGGAAACAACTTGTTGAGATATCTAGATGTCAAAAACAGGTAGCCCAGATATTCAAGCAGGCCGACACAAACACCTAATTTAATCAATATTAAACATGTATTTTTACTGACTGTCTAACAAAAATCACATTGTGATGAGAAACCTCTAACTCTACAACTGTCACAGCATCATATAAAGAGATAAATATTAACAGTGGCCATGAAAAATGTTATGGTTATTCTTGTTTTCAATGGTTGTCTAACTAAAATCAGCTAATAATGTAAAAATTGAAACTTTTATATCCTAATACATAAAGAACTAATCAATTACCAACTCATAAAATGAGACTGCATTAACTTTATTTGATCTACTCAAATGTTCACAGAATACATTTTTTAGTTATGAAATGTACTTGGCTAAATAAATATATTTTGTTTGTTTTTTTCTAGTTAAAACACCAACAAATATCACAGTACAAGAACATGCAAAACATGTTCGTTTCGACTGTCAAATAAATGAAAGGGTCAATATTTTATCATACAAATGGTAAGTATTAAATCATATTTTGTTTGTGTAGAAATTGTGAACTCGATCACTGCATTCGTCTTTGTATATCTTCTAACTGTTATAATAGTTATAATTCTCGTAATCACGATCACTAACCATTCTAGAACACTATAAATCCTTCAATGTGCTACAGTTTTATTATGACAGAGCAAATAAAGGTAATATCAGTCAATAATAGTAATTATGTGATACCAGAAATTGAATATAAAGTTGTTTTATTAGAAACTGACATTGATTATGGTTCAATATTATTCCATGTTTCTTTAAATTTACATCAACTTTTCAGACGATAGTTATATGTTCTTATGACCACTTATATAAACATTATTTCGACGGCTGTGGTATGTTAGAAGTGAGATAAACATCATAAATGGAATTACGTAATCCTTACTCTATATTGTAAATAGATGGATGTTGGAAATGAGGATCATTAAATAATGAAACTATAGTCTAACAATACTTATAAGGTTTGAAGTTTTGAGGCTAACTAATGTATGAAACAGATTGTTTGTACTATTCAAATACATTAAAATAACCGTCTAATGCTCAGAGCTTTATTACGTAATGTAAGCTAACATCATTATGAACAACTTCTTTAAACGTCATATTCTTTAATCAGACTGAGAATATTACCAGTGATTTATTGTTTTTATATTTTTAATGTCTGAAGGCAAATAATATGAAAACAAATCAGTATAAAACATAACAGGAGAGAAGTAGTAAATAAGTGGATGACACTGGAATATCAAGTGTTTTAAGTCAACGTTGTTATGTTTATCAGAAAGGGTTTTGTGGAGATCGTAGCAATTTAATAGTTAAATGCATGAGTCATTTAAAGCTAGACCACCATGAGAAACCTGGAAGTACTAGAAGATCATTTCGTCCTAGTATGGGACTCCTCGCCAGAGCGCATCCACGATCCTGCCTGTGGGATCATATTTTTAACATTTCGTTATACTTAATCCGTTAGTTGGAACATACGACCTTCATTTAGCTGTTTGTTATGTCGATTTTTTAAAAATTTATATGAATACATTTCAATGAGGTTTCAGATTATCTCAATAATGAATAACTCAACCAATTTACTTTAGTTATTACAGTTTATAAAAGAAATAAGTATTGTGAATTTCTGAATTTCTTTGTAGGTTAAAAAATAAAGTAGATATAAATTTACAACCAGATATTCAACATCGTTATCAAATTTTACAAAATGGTAGTTTATATCTTACACAAATTAATCGTAATGATACTGGGATCTATACATGTCAAGTAGCTTTCAAATATTCAAACAGTCAGCATAATTACATGAAACCTTTGGCTATTGAACAGAATGACAATAATCAAAGACAAATTAATTTCATATCTGATTATTTACGTAATCGTGAACATGGATATAATGAAGAACTTGAAAAAGTAGAACAGAATTTAGAAGCATCTGCCTGGTTAAATGTTCAATGTATGTTAGTATGGTAATCATTGGAATTTTGAAGTATTATTTGTTGTTTGACTGGAAAAAAAAGTGAAATAGAAAATTGTATTCCTAGATAAATTTTATGAAGTGCAAACAGATAAATACCAGTGACCATTGGATTTAGCAGTATCAATGAACTTATCTTTCAAACAGACAGCAACTAGGCAGGTTTAATTTCTTATTCATTGCAAACCGGCATAAGATCACATTTAAGATCTATTATTCTAATAATATATTAGATATCTAATTTGTTTGGAATGTGATGCTTGCACGTATATTATTTATTTATTTGAACACAAATATTGGCACGAAGGGCACCAAATATATATACACCACACAAGTCACTTGATTTGTGTGTATGCTGTGATACTACACGGGTGCCCAGAGCGAATTAGACGGTATTCTTCGGCGGCCACATCCTGATCCTTCGACCTGAAGGTCTGGTCAACAAGGCAGTGGAGTAACATCAGAAGATGCAGTCACATGGTTGCCGGTGACCAATAATTGGTTCATGCGCAATTTGTTCCCTCAGAATTCTGGAGTCCATATGCACCATTGGTTCGAAATCAGGGATTTCTAACTCCCATATGTGGATCCTCCATATCCACCAACCCGGTTAAAGCACCAGACATTCATTTTTCGTGAGTAGGACTTCTTTGGTAGTGGCTGTATACGCGTGACCATGTGAGAATATTTCCAGAGAAAGAGTTGACTCTCCCCACCCTCGGTCGTCTCAGGGCATTCGAGGGCATTTATCAGTAAAATGTATATCATAAATCCAAATAACGTTGTATGAACAACTTTTTGTAGTTTAATATCCAGTTTAAATTTTAAAACGATAATCATTTATTGGCTAATATATGCCAAAAGTTTCGACCTTGATAGTTGTCTGATAGATTATAGTAATTCATATTCTAAATAATAAATAGAATAGAAAGAATACAATTTCCCAATCTAATTATTTACCTAATTAAGTTTAATTAGTAGACTATATACATCTGCTGGTATAGACAAATTGCTTTGTATTATCAGCTACTAAGAAAGAAATATTTACAAATTATGATTTCTTTTATAAACACTAATTACTAATATAATGATTTTGATGTATAATGTCATTAGTTAGATGGGTAGCAAAACCTATCAAATTATATCAGTTCGGCTGCTGAGAAAGTAATAAATTGAAGAAATAATCATCTTCTTTAGAGTCTAGACAGTCTCAACTCCTGAATGTACCATTAAAATCTCTGTAACAGATTATCACGGAGTTATCTAATAATTTGGCTAAAAGTTTAACAAAATGATTTTCGAAACAGAATGTATACTCAATGATTTTGATGAAAAAGTGATCGGATTTGATAAGTAAACTAGAAGATTGACTACACCTGATTACATACATATGTAAAAAATTATAATGGTCGGGTTTTTTTCCATACTCCTAAGGATTTACGAGTCTAGATGAAATAAACATTCGTGATTGTAATAGTTTCTCGATAAATAATCACGTTATAAAAACAACATTGGTGTGTTTATTTTTTTCAGTATTAATAGATTAAGCAATTCACATAAATGAATCACTATTAACAACATCCACTTAATGAACTACTGAAAATTTCTTCTAACTTTGTTTGATGTGATTCAATAGAACTTGTAACGTTTTTCAATTGGTTTCATAACTTTAAAAATACAAAACAAAAAAGATAACTACGCAAAATAGTTTTTGGGTTTGTATTTTATGAAGTACTCTCTATTATATTTACAAATTAATCATGATAATGTAGTTTAACTATGAAACAATAAAGATTTCTGAAAGATAATGATGATGTAAATGAATAAATGCCTTTTAACAAAGCCTTCTATTAGGAACTAAGATTATGAAGGATTATTTCTTTGATATTATTCATGGTATCTGTTATCATAAACACGTAAAAGTTATAAAGAATTTGATTTAAAAGAAGCTTAATATTGATTTTAATTTTTATTAATCATTTAATCTCAAAAGTTGAAATCGTGAGTTAATTAAAGCTAGACCACCATGGAAAACCTGGAAACACTGGATGGCCGTTTCGTCCTAGTATCGGACTCCTCAGCAGTGCGCATCCACGATCCCGCTCCTAACGAGATTAGAACCCAAGACCTATCAGTCTTACGCGCGAGCACTTAACTACTCGACCACTGAGCAGGCATCCAATGGTGTTAATGTCTAACTTCAACTAATCCACGAAATCGCGCTACCGTAAACCATTGTCTCCAGTGAGTTACAGTCTCACAACAGACCCGGTTGAACTCCATTGGTCACGGCTTCTCACTAGAACTCCAGGAAGCTCCTCTTGAAGTCAGTCACTAGTGAGCAGATGAATATTACCAGAAGGGGTTTTGTGGAGATTTTAGTCATTTCCAGGTTGTCCAAGGTGGTCTAGCTACAATTGACTCATGATTTCAACTATTGAAATTACTAAAATCTCCACGAAACCCCTTCTGATAATTTTTTAGTCATTTATTCAGCATCTAACATAATTTTTTAAATCAGTTTATGAAAAAGTCAATTGAAGGCATGATAAAATATTGTATATTGTGTAATGATTATCAACAGTTGATATTAACATGTTAATATTGATACCCTAATAAAATTTAGATACTTTATCTATTGTACCGTTTAATCAATCTGATCGGTTAGTATTATATATTTGAATTATAAACGCTAAAAAATAATACTCTAATCAGTGTCTGAATACTGATGTTTCACTATACTGATATCATTTCGTGCTTACTTGATTAAATATTATACCTATATAAAATGATCAATTTCATTTTCTTATGATATTTCTATAATTAGTTATCTTGTGGCTTACTTACTTACTTACGCTTGTTACCCCCGAATAGAGAAAAGGCCACTGACCAGCATTCTCAAACCAACTCTGTCCTGGACCTTCCTCTCCAGTTCTATCTAATTTTTGTTCATTCTTCTCATGTCTGTCTTCATTTCTCGACGTAATGTGTTCTTTGGTTTTCCTCTTCTCTTTTGGTCTTAAGGATTCCATGTGAGAGCTTGCCTTGTGACGCAGTTGAGTGCTTTCCTCAATATGTGTCCTATCCACTTTCAGCGCTTCTTCCTAATTTCTTCCTCTTCTGGAATTTGGCTTCCTCCGTTGGAATCTGGTATCCTTTGACAATCTCATAGTATTCCCTTGGAGTATACTTTCACGCATGTTGATTATTGTTTGGACCAGTATAGTGGTGGACACTCACGTAACTACCAGATTCATCATCTCTTTCTAATAAATTATTTTGTCATTCATCACTATTTTCGTGTACATTTTTAATACAAATGTGATTATGTCTTCATCCATCTATATATTTATCATATTAAACGTATAGATATATAAACTAGTGTGGTGGTCGGTGTTCGATATATTCCTTAAACTCCGTATACAGTTCGTCTCGGTAACCGTCACCAAATAATGCTCCAACGATATATTAATCAGAAGGCGAATACGAAGCGTTAATTACGTTTATTAAGGGACCACACACAGATATCCAAAGTTACAGATGCGTTAAGCAAGCATGAAATAGTTGTGCCGAAAGGCAAACGGGCAAGCGAGCGAGCGAGAGAGAGCAAGGGCAAGAGCGAGCGATCGAGCGAGTGAATGAACGAGCGAGCGAGTCATGAATATGAATAACATGGACATATATATACATAGTGAAATGAATGAATCATCGAGTCAATTAAGCGGTTAATAGTAAAGCTAGTAGCGTGAATAAATGCGTAAGCAGTAAGGCTTGCCGAGCATACATATTCATACAAGGATAACAATAATAAAGGTACATACATTCGCAACAGTAATAAGGATACAATAAGTTATTATAGTGCAGGTGACTTTGTCCGTTTAATAAGTTAATAAAAGGGCTTAACCGAATTAGGTGAGAGCAAACTCAATTGAACGTGAGTTGCTATAATAGCTCCTCCCAGCAAACAAAGATACAAAAGTGTCTGTGTTTGCGAAAAAAAATGTCAAACTTAACAAGATGGGAAATATCGAAATTTACGAAATTAAGATATATGATAGGACTATCGTATAAGTTATTAAAAATATGTGTAAGTTTGAGTTGGTATATGTCAGTGAGGCCAAATAAGATCATAACGGAAGATCGAAAGAATACATAAAATTTGTTGAATATGATAATAGATAAGCTAAAATTTTCGCTTTGTACCTAGAAAATGAACATTAAACTTACATTCGAAGAGGTGAAAGAAATTATCAATTCAAAATCGTAGCTATGTATCGTTGCGGCCATCTCACTCTTCGGCCATATCTCGTTGTTACTGGATTTTCTTCGTTTGTGTTGGTCGATGTCGTTGATGATTGGAACTCGCGTTTCGGTGGTTCGCCGGTTTTCGAAATATCTGTATATATTGTCTGACCGTCGGTTTCGATGAAAGCTGGTTTGACTCTGTCGATGCTAATTACATCCGTTTTTCCAGCTTTTTCTATCGTAATAGTTTTATCGTTTCTTTTAATCACCTTGAATGGACCATCGTAGGCCGGTTGTAAGGGACGCTGCACATTATCCCTTCTGATAAACACATGGGTACTATCGGTCAGTCGTTTTGGCATGTAGACACGATGTTGCTGTTGCCTCGGAAGCGTTATCCTCAGATCACCCATATGTTGCTTTAGACGTTGTACATAGTTGGCTATATGCAACGGGGATGCCCAGGGACTATTAGACGGTCTTATGATACCAAGCTTCATCAATTTTTCGAACTCTCGTTTCGCAATCTTCAACCTATTTGGGTCTAGCCTCCGTGGTCTTGCGTTGGCCGGTGGACCTTTCGTTATAATATGGTGCTGTACAGTGTGTTTAAGATCTCTGTTATCGTATGATGCCCTCGTCAAATCAGTGAACTCATTTAGAAGCGCTCTATATGGCTCGCTTTTGTCTTTTGAGACTACTAAATTCATGGATACGTAATCGGTTGTCACTCCTTTTACCACTACTGAATGGTCTTCGTTCACGAGCCGGTTTCGTCGCGTATCCACTAGTAAGTCGAAATTCTTTAAGAAATCAATACCAATTATAGGTACGGATACATCTGCGATGACGAATTCCCAGCGGAATGAAGTGCTACGACCAAAATTCAAGGTTATTTTACGCTTGCCATATGTTTTTATATCGGATTTATTTGCTGCCTTAAGCGTAAGCGCTGTATTAATATTTCGCGTTTCGTTACTCACTGGAGGCACAACGCTTACTTCTGCTCCAGTGTCCACTAAGAACTGAGCACCTGTTACTCTGTCCTGAACGTAAAACAAACGACTGTTTCTAGGAGCTGTTCTAGTTGTCGCGGCGTTTACCGACAATCGGTGTGATCGTTTGAATTTACATGGTGGTCGGCAGTTTCGAGCTTTGTCGCCAAAAGTTTGATGGTACCAACATATTGTAGGAGCTGAGCGTCTCCTAGAACGTGATCGACTTCTATCTCTCGACCTACTTCGCAACCATTTTCTTTGTGTATCGCTCTGATTTAGTTTCATCAACTTGTGGCATAAAACGTTAATCTCCTTTTGTAATGCGTCGATTCGTTCATCTACTGTGGTATTATGTCTTTGCGGACTCGTTTGTTTCATCCTCTCGTAAATCCTATCGGCTATATTTGCAATGTTGTCTATGTCGACATCGCTGTCCTCAATCGCGAGGATCTGCTGAACGTTCGGTGGGAGTCGTCGTAGCCATAACTGATAAAATATGTTTTTATCTATTTTTCTGTTTCCAATTATGCTTCTCATATAATTTTTTAGCTGCGACGGAGTCCTATCTCCAATCTGCACTTGACTGAGAAGCTGCTCGACGGCTTGTCGGTCACTTAATGAGACGGCTTTAATCACAGCCTGTTTAAGTGCGTCGTATGGCTTTTCGATGTCTGGCTTAGTTAAAAACTCTCGTACATTGTCGGCTACTTCATCCGGAAGTAGTGAGCTCGCATGGCCGAATTTATCTCGCTGTAAATGAACACGATTAGCAACAAAGTAATGTTCGAGTCTAATAAACCAGAGTTCAGGATCTGTGATCTTAAAAGGAGGAATAGTTACATTCATGGACCTCACGGACGAAATTTGTGGAAGGTCTATTGTGTCGTTATTTAAAGACATGATTATAAAGATCAAAAATTATACGTAAATACTGTAAATGTCACGGAGAGCAGTAAATCGATAAAAACAATGAGAATACAAAATGGTACAATTAATTACAAGGAACGGACTTACTAAATTGCACCAAAATATCAATTGTTTGGAAAATATCGTTGTTTATTATGAATATTAACGTTATGTTCAATAATGTTTGTGTGATAATGTACGTATAATTAAAATGGTGACATAATAAATCCACAGTAATGATTATAATCCAAATGCTAGCTCGAATTGAAATACAGTGCGTTGGATTCTCGGAGTTGGATTACGTCGTCGAAGATTGATTCTTGCTCGCACGTTGGGATCACCAATTCTGTGGTGGTCGGTGTTCGATATATTCCTTAAACTCCGTATACAGTTCGTCTCGGTAACCGTCACCAAATAATGCTCCAACGATATATTAATCAGAAGGCGAATACGAAGCGTTAATTACGTTTATTAAGGGACCACACACAGATATCCAAAGTTACAGATGCGTTAAGCAAGCATGAAATAGTTGTGCCGAAAGGCAAACGGGCAAGCGAGCGAGCGAGAGAGAGCAAGGGCAAGAGCGAGCGATCGAGCGAGTGAATGAACGAGCGAGCGAGTCATGAATATGAATAACATGGACATATATATACATAGTGAAATGAATGAATCATCGAGTCAATTAAGCGGTTAATAGTAAAGCTAGTAGCGTGAATAAATGCGTAGGCAGTAAGGCTTGCCGAGCATACATATTCATACAAGGATAACAATAATAAAGGTACATACATTCGCAACAGTAATAAGGATACAATAAGTTATTATAGTGCAGGTGACTTTGTCCGTTTAATAAGTTAATAAAAGGGCTTAACCGAATTAGGTGAGAGCAAACTCAATTGAACGTGAGTTGCTATAATAGCTCCTCCCAGCAAACAAAGATACAAAAGTGTCTGTGTTTGCGAAAAAAAATGTCAAACTTAACAAGATGGGAAATATCGAAATTTACGAAATTAAGATATATGATAGGACTATCGTATAAGTTATTAAAAATATGTGTAAGTTTGAGTTGGTATATGTCAGTGAGGCCAAATAAGATCATAACGGAAGATCGAAAGAATACATAAAATTTGTTGAATATGATAATAGATAAGCTAAAATTTTCGCTTTGTACCTAGAAAATGAACATTAAACTTACATTCGAAGAGGTGAAAGAAATTATCAATTCAAAATCGTAGCTATGTATCGTTGCGGCCATCTCACTCTTCGGCCATATCTCGTTGTTACTGGATTTTCTTCGTTTGTGTTGGTCGATGTCGTTGATGATTGGAACTCGCGTTTCGGTGGTTCGCCGGTTTTCGAAATATCTGTATATATTGTCTGACCGTCGGTTTCGATGAAAGCTGGTTTGACTCTGTCGATGCTAATTACATCCGTTTTTCCAGCTTTTTCTATCGTAATAGTTTTATCGTTTCTTTTAATCACCTTGAATGGACCATCGTAGGCCGGTTGTAAGGGACGCTGCACATTATCCCTTCTGATAAACACATGGGTACTATCGGTCAGTCGTTTTGGCATGTAGACACGATGTTGCTGTTGCCTCGGAAGCGTTATCCTCAGATCACCCATATGTTGCTTTAGACGTTGTACATAGTTGGCTATATGCAACGGGGATGCCCAGGGACTATTAGACGGTCTTATGATACCAAGCTTCATCAATTTTTCGAACTCTCGTTTCGCAATCTTCAACCTATTTGGGTCTAGCCTCCGTGGTCTTGCGTTGGCCGGTGGACCTTTCGTTATAATATGGTGCTGTACAGTGTGTTTAAGATCTCTGTTATCGTATGATGCCCTCGTCAAATCAGTGAACTCATTTAGAAGCGCTCTATATGGCTCGCTTTTGTCTTTTGAGACTACTAAATTCATGGATACGTAATCGGTTGTCACTCCTTTTACCACTACTGAATGGTCTTCGTTCACGAGCCGGTTTCGTCGCGTATCCACTAGTAAGTCGAAATTCTTTAAGAAATCAATACCAATTATAGGTACGGATACATCTGCGATGACGAATTCCCAGCGGAATGAAGTGCTACGACCAAAATTCAAGGTTATTTTACGCTTGCCATATGTTTTTATATCGGATTTATTTGCTGCCTTAAGCGTAAGCGCTGTATTAATATTTCGCGTTTCGTTACTCACTGGAGGCACAACGC